AAATACGCATCTGTTTGCTAACATTTAACATTTTACACATCACTAAAGTTATTTTTCATTTTTACAACCTGTGTTCTTTAGTATAAATAAGATTTAAACCAAATCCAACGTCTCTTCGCTCTTCTTAATGAACATCTGTCCTCTTTTATAATAGCAAATGAAACAATACTGTGTTATAAGGAACAATTAAACTAAATAGTCAGTACACGTGCACATTTGAACTTGAAAATATACTCTTATACACTGATGGCGTATTGTTATTGTTGTTTTAACGCTAAGCTATACAATGGACTATCTGCTCTCTGTTCGCCCAGGGGGAACCGAACCCCAGATTTGATTTTAGCATTGTAAGTCCGTGAATTTACCGTTTACTCACTAGGGGACAAAGGTCTGTCTGTGTGGTCTTAGTTTCAAGATACTCTTTACAGAAACATAAAAAATAAAACAGGTTTGTTTGTTTTCCTGTATTCGTTCTAAGTTACACAAAGGCACTTGCCATCTCTTGAGCTATTCTTCTCTGACTGAATTTTACGATCGCAATTGGAACGGTTCATAGTCCCAAAGTGAAAGCGTATATATATATATATAGAGAGAGAGAGAGAGATACATTTTTTTTTCTTTTCTGGAGATAACGGAATGCAAATGATGGATCCAAAGATCTATAGTCCAGCATGCTAGTTAATGGATCGGATTTGGCCCAATAAAACAGGAGTTTTTTTGTTTTTTTTTTAAAGCAGGCCAAACTCAAGAACGGTAATTTGCTTACTTCTTAAACATTTACATAACAAACCTAGAGACAACTAATGTCACAATTATACCCTGCTAGGCCTTACAAGCCCCAGAGAATAGAAACGTGCATACGCAGCAATATAACTTCATGCTTGTCTCAGTGACGTAAACTACAAAAGATGACCCCTCCCCCCTCCGTATGAAATGTAATTAGGCCCCCTAGAATTATTTCCCTATAATAGTAGTTACGATTTTAGTTGGTTCATACCATTAACTTAACTGAAAATTCAAAATTAAACCAAACTTTAAATTGTATCTAGTGTTTATCGTCGAATTACTCGTGTATGAAATTTTGTGCCGGTCAGTTTAGCCATTGGTGAAAGCGGGGAATGTAGATAGCATGGGCATCCGCAGGGAGGAGGAGGGGGAAGAGGCAAGGGGGCACTTGTTACCCTATATTATCAATTTTGCGTTTCCCTGTTTATAGCTTGGATATCATTTCGTCATTTGACCTCTCCTCTGTAATATATCCTGCAGACGCTCACGCACGATGGAACTACAGTTATATTTCCACCATTATAGTATGGACCACAAACTTAGGCAGTTAGTGTAGACAGTATGGACCACAAACTTAGA